ATATAATATGTACATATGTATTTATATGTATATGTTTACGTATATGTTAAAGATTTTCTACTTATACACACACCTGATCATGCGCTTGCCCAGAGGAATGATCACCAGCGCCGGCATCGTCGTGAACACAAACGGAGCCCAGAACTCCCCGAAGAAGACATACAACGCACCACCAATGGGAGGACCAATCATAAACGCACCTCTGCAGATGCACACAAACAAGGAAGTGGGTGTACTATGAGTCATGCATGCACCAATGGGAGGACCAATCATAAACATTACTCTGCAGATGCAGAAGTAAGTGAGTGAGTGAGTGAGTGAGTGTGGGGTGGGGGGGGGTTGGAGAATACCATTGCGCTATCCAACTATTGGTGAATCCGAAGAAACGTACAGACGGATCTCCTGATAAGACATGTATGTGTTTACGAAAGACGTACACACACGAAGTACGTCTGCATATTCGGATATATCAATACGAATATGACAGTGAGGGTACTCAACGCGTTAGAACACGTAAACGTAAAAGATGACGCTGCATGAGGTAGCACTTGCCTGGTGGTATGAGTGCCCAGTGTGGAAGAGCGTAGAAGCCTATGGCAACACAAGTACTGAAATAAACCCAACTCACTAAGAAACCCCCAACCAACTAAGAATAACCCCAACCAATGCTAAAGTGTCTACTCCTCACATACATACCTACAAGTGTAGAAGTGCATTCTCGTATTGTTATATTAAGTACAGACTACACGCACATAAGCATGCAAATGTACAAGCACTCGGGCATGGATTGTATTATCCGAGTTCGTTCGGCGTACACGAGACGACATCGCAGACAACTCTGAACGCCTCAAACACAAATGACAACCACTCACGTGTCAACTGCGTGTCATCACACGTGTGACATCTGTTGTGGCCCAGACCACCACAATGTCTTATTTGAGGGTAGTCCCCACTCATCTCACTGCCTTATCTAGACAAGTAGGTATGTGATTTCAATCGCGCTAGCTACGCAGGTACTTCATGTGCCAACTCGTAGGACATACCCGAATGTCATCTCGACAAGCCCAAAAACCTATAAAAAAAAAGAGGACAGGTGATGAACCGTTGCAATTAGTCTATAGATGAGCCTGACATGGGCGCAGTGCATCGCTGGAACTTTCGATGGTTTTTGGTTTTCTGGTTAACATGAACTTAGTTCAAAAAGTGTTTAACGTTGTCTATGCTCAATGGCTATCTGTGAAAGTACCGTCTCTATGGTTTTTTATTTACTACTTAACATAAACTTAGCTAACATAAACTTGTTAACATGAACTTAGTTAACATAATTTTAGTATACGCAGTATTCGCCGTTATCTATACTAATGACTGTCTGTGCAAGAGTATATTTCGAGCAGTCCCACGTAACACGGTAGTCGCACTGACGACCTCAGCTGGACTATACGCATTCGATCAAAGCATATCGTACACGAGGTGACAGATATGTATATGTTTGTTATTACAGTGGGTGCTATATATAGATATGTTTGTTATTACAGTGGGTGCTATATATGTATATGCGTGTTACTACAGTAGGTGAGATAAAGGTACAAGTGGGTTAGTACAGCAGGTGATAGTCATATGTATGTGTGCAAATACAGTAAGTCATACATATGTCTATGTGTCTATTCAAGTATACGAATATGCGGCAAGCTCCCTTAAGCACACCTTCTCAGCATCTCCATGGAGACTCAATGCCAGTACGGCGTCGCAGCACAGTACGTTCACACCACTGAACAAACCTAGACACAAACCAAACAACTCCGATTAGGCGCAAGAACCAACAGTGACATACGTAACTAGGTGTCTACCTGTAGACATATATCACATACCTCTCCAGGATGAACACATTGTATTCCTGTACACACATAATACTTGGTACGGTAACATACCCCTCCAGGATGAACCATAATCTATTCTTGTACACACATAATACTTGTCACATTAACATACCCCTCCAGGATGAATCATAATCTATTGTTGTACACACATAATACTTGTCACATTAACATACCCCTCCAGGATGAATCATAGTCTATTCTTGTACACACAATACTTGTCACATTAACATACCCCTCCAGGATGAATCATAATCTATTCTTGTACACACATAACACTTGCCACACGACCTACCTCTCCAGGATGCTCATTGAAGACCAACGCAAGCGTAGCCGTACAACACGTCATCGCAGCACTACATGCGACGCCCATAACCATTCGAGATATCAGAAATGTGGGCAGAGTGGTACCCAACCCAAACGCCACCGTAGACACCGCAGACAGGGCCACAGCACTGGCCAGGAGGTTGGACCGACCCATGATCCCAATCATGTAGGGGATGATGGGGCTCATGATAAGAGAGGTGAGAGGGAAGACGCTGAAACACCACTGTGCAATGGGGAGGAACAGACACAGACACGTTGGAAGGGATGGAGAAGGTATATCTGATCAGTACGAAGAAGTAGCAGAGAGTAACAGTAACAACCCACTGGGGATATCGGCAACACATCAGATCAGTCAATACAAGGCAAAACAAACAGAACAGACACTCAAGGTATCAGCAACACATCACACGAGCAGTACAAGCTCTAACTGTCCATGAAGCCCCTGCGAGCGTATGAGGAATCGAAGTCAATCGAGTGCACTGTGCTGGCTTTAAAGTTCGATTGTCAGGTCAGGTGTTTGGGGGTGCTACGCAAGTGATTGTAAGGTGACACGCACCCCGAGACACGCAGCATGCCGTGTGAATTGAATTCAGTGAATGTCAAATACGATATAATAAAATGGACATTTGAAACTATGTTGTAAATATCATATTGTTATATAGTGTATATATGTATCATAATATAATATTATAACCAAGTGGATTAGTACTATATTATATTATAATATATTACAGCATAATATAACATTATAACCATGGTATCAGGTATATAACATAATATTATGGACATTTGGAACTATATGATGGATATAATACAATATTGTATTAGAATATATTACAGCATAATATAATATGATAACCATGGCACCAGGTATATAATATAAAATTATGGACATTTGGAATTATATGATAATACTTTACTATATTATAATATATCATAATATAAAATCATAAGCATGGCATCAGGTATACAAAATAACAGTATTGAGCGCAGACATACCCCGATCTCTTCAGGGCTGAGCCCACACTCGTCAGCAGCTGTGGTGTGTGGGGGTGAAAGTCAGTTCGGTACTTCTGCGGATAGTCATCAAGTGCCTCTGGTAACAACCCAACGTGTCACGGTTGCAGTAGTAGTAAGCTCAATCACTCTCGTATGAGCCTTGACTACCCAGAAGCAGCTGCGATGAAAGACTTATTGTAGTATGTCTGTCTTGAACCCCCATACCCGAAAACCCTAAATCCCTAAAACCCTAAACCCTGCCACGGGAGATGTGGAAGACGGACACGCGGAGGATGCTTATGAAGGCTACGGCGATAGTGACCATGCACATCAACACACTTGTGCATGACCAGAAGTCGCCTACTGTCGTACACCAAAGGTTACCCATTGACTGAGCCAATCAACTGATACGATCAATATATACAGTCAGCACGCACCAATATAACACAAGCTAACAACGCACCAATAGAACACAAGCTAACATACCAAATTTGGGGAAAAAAGGCGCGGGGATTGATATCGGAATGGCGGTGAAAAACATAGCCGCCAGGAGCACCCACATCAAGCTCACATTCGGGTGGGAATAAATAGAGCCAAGAGTCTTCTCCTCTTCAGCATCCTGCGCCTTTGACGATTCCAACAGTGGTTGCCGCTCACTGTGTGGACCATCATTCATACTGACGATGGCGAGACGTGGTTGAGATATGTGAGTTATATGGAAAACGTGTGTAAACATCGGGTATGTAGACGGTTGAGGCGATATGGATGTTTTGTATGTACAAACACAAGAGCTTAGACCAATGATCGACTATCATCAAGTTCACGAAAACACGAATAAAGAGGTGGATATAAGA